AAGCTATGGTTATTTAGTGCTCTATTATCAATAGTAGAAAATAAATGTGTGCCTCCTTTTCCTTTTCTCTTTTTTTTTTTTTTTTTTGAGCAACTTGCATAGGTTAGTATCGGTTAATTTTTGATACATGCCAGACATACCAGTTTGATGCCGATTTAATACAATTTGCTTTACTTGTCAAAGTAAAACCTGGGAAGGTCATACACAAGGCAATTCTAAACATATTCTAAAAAATTCAATGATACTAAACATCAATGTAATAACCAACATTAGCAGCTTGTGGAGCTCTGAATATGAATTTTAACAACAAAAACACAAACAAAAAAAAATCAAGAAGAGAGAAAAAAAAACCCCAAAAAAAAACACAAACAGAGCATTAATAAACCAAAAATCAAAACATGAATAAAATTTTTAACTCCTACACAAATTTTTAACATCAAAGCCTAACTATTCTTATTTTCCCCAATTTGAACATAAAATTTTAACTCCTGCACAAATTTTTAACATAAAATTTTTAACTCCTACACAAACAGAGCATTAATAAACCAACTCCTAGACAAATTTTTAACATCAAAGCGTGAATAAAATTTTCCCAAATTTTTCATAAACCCTAACTATTCTTATTTTTCCCAAATTGAACAAATTTGAAATAGACATGCATGCCGAACAAATTTAAAATCACAAATAACCAAAACAATACATATATATATATATATATATGTGTGTGTGTGTATATATACATGCATGCCGAGCAAGAGAGAAAAGGAAAAATCAAAGATGAAGGAAATGAACCAGAGTCGGAAAGAGAGAGAGATCCAGTGCCAGAAACAAACCAGAGCCGCACGTCGCTGAAAGCGAACCAAAGCCGAAAACAAACCAGAGCTTCACGTCTCCGAAAGTGAACCAGCACCGAAAGCGAACCAAAGTCACAAGTATACTGCTGTGTTGCTGCTTGTTGTTGTATCTCTTGCCAAAGAGAAAGATTAGGGCAAAAAAAAGAATATATACAGGTGGTATAAGAGTAAATATTTCAAAACACTAAGGACATTTAAGTATCTTTACCCTCCGCATAACACCCATGAGAATCTGAAGCAGCTTGAACCAACTTTTGAATTTCATTTTTTTTACCTTCCGTATAATCTGTAAAAGTTAAAGTTGAAGTAGATTGAAGTCTGCCAAGCAGTTTGAATTATCTTTTTTTAAGCTAAAAGCTAGAAGTTGGGTAAAAAAAGCTTGAACAAACACCACCATTGTGATAGCCAATCGGCTATTGGACGGGTACAAAGTAATATGTATAATGGAAAGTCTAGACATATCCGTCATAGACATAATTCCATACGACAATTACTCTCTAACGGAGTTGTCAATTTAGACTATGTGAAGTCTAAGGACAACATTGCGGATTTGCTAATCAAAGGGTTAAATCAATTGTTAGTAGAGAAGTTGTCAGAAGGAATGGTTTAAGGCATGCAGTGTAATATGTTACCGGAATGGAAACCCAACCTAGTTGACTGGAGATCCCAAGATCTAGATTCAATGAGACAACCTAATTGCGTGTAACGATAATATGTCATTGAGGAGGTTAAACCTCTAACCATTTCTTTTATTAGTGATACCTGCAAGTGTAGAGGTTAAGCTGAGCTTTTGATGACTCTAGTGTGTTGAGCTGTTGAGCTGAGTATAGTAGGATACTCAAGTAAAGTCACCTGTGTGAGTGTGAAGTAAGGTCACTTCTATAAGAATTGACAAGGCCGAATTCTTTAAACCACTCATTGAGCCATGCTAGTATTCTAAGGCCAAACCGGTCACAACTGTAAGAACAGAATGATGGTTAGAGTAATACTTGTGTGAGGTCTGTTGTCTTGGTTTACATAAACGACAGAATAGTTCAAGACTTCATGTTCACTAGGCAGTCAATAAATTTGATAAACTTCACTAGGAGGGGTTTAAAGCCAAAAGCTACCTTTTTAATGTAGGAGTTATTCCGTTGCACTTTCTTTTCATGTCTTTGTTTCTAAGCCAAAAATAATAGTTTTTTGGTGACTTTAATGCAATATTAAAATGGGTTCCAATCCTCAATTGAGATGAATTAAAGTGGGTTTAGATTCTTTGTAGTGAAATTTTTACACCACAAAAAAATGACAAAAAACCATTAAGATTTGAATTATAAATTGACTCATTAAGTTTGCCTTATGAAAGAGGTGTTGGGAAAGGTGTAAAATCTTTTATCCCACATTGATTGTAGAGGAGAGCATTAATGGATATTTAAATCCCATTTTTTGCCTAAGGGTGTGAGGGCATCTAAATTTTTTAAAGGAATAGAGTTATGGATGCTTCAATGATGGACTTGGGCCAAAACTATGGTCCAAGTTCGTTATGCAAAAATTGCCACATGCGCTTACGTGCACATGCTGTTTGCCCGCCCGGACTGAGCCAGGTCCGTAGTCCGTGATTTGTGGGTCGTGGATCTTGGATCTTGGGCTTGGGCTTGAGCTTGAGGCTTGTTGGACTGGATTGAGTATGGGGGTTGGGCTTGGCCTACCCATCTTAATCTTTTTAGGCTAAGCCAGATTTGTGGGCTGCAGGAATATACACACAAATCATATATGTATAATAGAGCTGGTAACTCCTCTATTCATGATGGATTTTAATCCATCAGTTTGCAAAAATTAAATCTTGCATTTGTTTCAGTAGAGCCTCTTCTTCTATCACTCCATGTGTATAAAAGAAGGCCCTTATCCTTTAATTTCAACACCAGAATTTTTGATATTTTTGTGTTCTTCCAAAATTCCAGTTTTATTTCTTCCTAGTTTGAGATAGTGCTGCCTTAGTTTTGTTCGTCGAAGCTATACAGTAGGTACATTGCTGTAGTTGGTCTAACTGTCGTATCCTAGAAGACAAATATCGAAGAACCTCCAGTACTCAACCGGTGATGCGACAAATCTGTTTTAAGGAAACTGTCTAGTACAGGGTTCGGTTTGCTTCATTTTTGCTATTTTATTTGATTAAGTATTTCTGTTCAATTTGCTTGTATGTATTCTGGTTTTGAAATTTTTAATTCCTAAATATGAATCTATTTGTTTATCTAATTACAAAATTTTTATAACACCCAATCCTACTATAATGCAAATGTATTCACATAACATAACCAAACCTCAAGCAAAATGACGAAGCCAGCTAAGGACAAGGGGGTCACGTGTCCCTCTGAAGTTTTGATAATTAGACTACTCCCCTATGTATAAAGTTTATATATCGCTTACCCCTAATAAAATTATAATAGTATCTCTCCTTAAATCATGTAAAATTCTTTGTATTTTTAAAATTTAAAAAATGTTCTATTATGTTCTCTTTCTCATTTTTACACACGCCTAGTTGATAGGTCAAGACAATAATTGAATCAACTGATAATTTATTTCCTATTATAGAATTTGTTTAGTTGTTTATTTCTTTTCATTAGTTGAGTTGATAGTGTTGAACTTATTAATTGTAAATTTAGTAGTTTGTTTGCTCCTATTATTGGGTTAATAGAATTGAGTTGTTGATTATGAATTTATAAGTTACGATGATGTAAATCTCATAATAATTATAATATTATATCTCACTGATTGAAAAAAAAAATTAAATAAAAAATATGTCTAAGTTATATCTTGTATTGCTTGTTATAAGGAGAAAAAAAAATGTAATGTTACGATGATGTGTGCTTCCTCCACGTTAAATTTTTGGCTCCATTATTGCTCAAGCATAACCCTGTGGCAAAAAAAAAAAAAACTCAATGCACAAATCAAAATTCAAATGCAACCTTGTAGGCAAACATCTCCACCTGTGTCCTCTATAACCTATTCTGTTACCATTACACTATTTTATAACAAGATTCATGTTATTAATGGGTGACCATCGCATTGATAGATGACAATGTCTGTGTTTGAGTGAGAGAGAGAAATTCTCATATTCTATCTATCCTTACAATTTTCTTTATCAGATAGGCATTACAAATTAACAATTTGATATACTTTACATTTGTAGTTTAGTTGAGAGACGATTAGTTAATGAGAGAATGATTATGCACATTGTTAGAAAAATAAGAAATTTCATTAGAATTTTAAAAGCTTAACGTTCCTATAAATATTAGGCCTAGTTTGGCATAACCTATATAATCCATCTTTTTATCTTTTTATCTTTTTTCCATCACATCACCTCTCTACTTTTCTGCACATATTTTCGTAAAAAGACAAAAAGTACACTTTTTTAGGACACCCAAAACCAACCTTTAGTGTCAAATCACCGAGTTAATATAATTTATTCACAAGTTTCATGAATTATGTCACAAAAATTTAAATTATGTCATAGTCACAATTACCTTAACATATTTCATATAGATGAGACCTCAAGACATTGAAACATCAATGGGATGAGTATATCTACCTCAAATAAAAGTTGTTACATTTAGAAGAAAAATGTTCAACTTGTACAATTCTTTTACAAAGAGATATATATTCATTTCATATTTGAATTTCACAATTCTTAGACCAATATACATCTTACTTAAACTATGACCTAAAATGATCAAATCCCTCAAATTTAGTAACAAGAATTTTAGCAAAACCCCCTCAAATCTCAATTCTTTCATACAAAACAAAGCAACAAACACATGTAGCTTTGAGATTAAATTTCTCTCAAGTAATTTGATTCCCATGAATCAATCAAATACTTATTAGAAAGCTGAACTCAAACCCTACAAAACCATTCAAATCTCATTAAAATCTATGGAATATAACTCAAGTTGTGTCCCTAACAAATTAGATGAAAAGCACACAAAACACCAAGACCAAGCCTTTATCTCGATCCGCATGACACCAAAACAAGCATCCTTATCCGTGGATTCCTTTTGATCTACCGGCTCAAATTCAAACGTATCTTCGAATGATCGATCCGCGCGAGAAGCCTCTCCACCAATCAGAACTCTTCCTTTTTTGAGCTTTTAAACCTATAAATAATTAATTTCTTCATCATATCCAAAAAAATTAAAACAAGAAAATTACAGTCCTCTGATATTCTCTCTCTAAATTCAGTTTCTCTCTCTAAGTTAAGTTTCTCTCTCTTGCGTTGCTTTGCATTCATGGCGTCTGTGACGGCAAAAGCGAACTCTGCGAAAGTGACGAAAGCGAAGAAAACGTCTGCTCCGAAGGTGCCTCGAGCACATCCTCCTTACGTTGAGGTAATGATTAAACGCATTTGTTTCAGTGTTTATTGCATTTCTGTGAATTTGTGATCTGATTGTGAATTTGTTTTTGTAAAATCCTAGATGATTACGGATGCGATTGTGGCGATGAAGGAGAGGACTGGTTCGAGCCAGTACGCGATTGCGAAGTTCATCGAAGAGAAGCAAAAGGCTCATCTGCCGCCGAATTTCAAGAAGCTTTTGCTCGTTCAGTTGAAGAAGCTCGTCGCATCTGAGAAGCTTGTGAAGGTTAAGAACTCGTTCAAGCTGTCTTCGGCGGCGAAGCCTGTATCAGCCGCTGTCAAGAAGGCTCCTGCTGCGGCGGCGACAGTGAAAGCTCCCGTGAAGAAGACGGTTGTTGCGAAGGCGAAGGCGAAGGCGAAGGCGAAGGCGAAGGCTGTAGGCGGTGCGAAGGCGACGGGTGTTACGCCGGTGAAGACAAAGAAGGTTGCGCCGAAGCCAAAGGCCGTGTCGAAGCCTAAGAAAGCTGCGAAGACAGCGACGGTGAAGTCACCGGGGAAGAAGGTGGCTGTGGCGAAGAAGAAGAAGGCTCCGGCGAGTGCGGTTAAGAAGCCGAAGAGTATCAAGTCGCCGGCGAAGAAAGCGGCGACGAAGAAGGGGAGGAAGTGAGGAGGTAGTGGTGTGGTGTGCTGTGGTGGTTTGTTAGGGGTAGGGATGTAGGGTAGTTTTGTAAATTTGTGGAATAGTGGGGGTTAGTTTGAATGACAGTTGCTTTTTTAGTTTGTGTTTTGTTTTTAATTTGGTTTGTTAACTAAAAGCAGTTTGATTTAATTTTAGTATCTTTAAAAGAGTTTAAACGAGATGGGGTGAAATTTCAGTTGTATGAAGTGCGTGTGTTTGTTTTGGTTTATTTTTCTAGTGTAGTTTGGATATGAATGAATGACAAAATATGGAATTTGACTAGTGTTGAAGACATTTTTTGGGTTCTTTAATAGTTTGTTATTCACAAATTTTATCAAAAGATTCAAGCTTCAAATATTATGTGATTCATACCAAATTTGCTATAGTATCTATTTAGAGTATGAAAGATTGAAGTTAATAAAAGATTAAAGTTATACCAAGAATATGACACCATCTATTAAAAATGTATATTGAAGCAATGTGATTTGGATTGAAATGTGAAATCTATTGTATAATATTTGAATGGGCTAGGCTAGTCTCAGATTAGACTGAAATGCGGTGTTGGACATGTTTTGATATTTTAAATTATTTAATATTTGGATAATTTAAATTGTTTAATATGAAATATTTATTGAGTATTTTTGGTCAAGTTTGACAATTTATAAAAAAGTTATTATTATTTACTAAAAATCAAAAATTGTGATGGTATAATTCTCAATTTTAATTTTTGCTTATATACTAATTTATTTAATTTTTTAATATATATTTTTTTTTAATGTAGAACTCGTCTAATATTTTATTTCTGCAAAAAATCACGTTAATTGAATATTGATAGCCCTTTGATCAAATCATTTTTTTTTAATAATAAATATAATTTTTAAAATAAATTATTAATAAAAATTTAATTTAATTAAGTAATTATTGATATTTGATTAACATAATTTTTATATATTTTATATATTTAACAATTTACATTAGAAAATGAGAGAGAGTATTAATTAGTGCTATTATTAATGATGTGGCAGTGAGTCCCACCATGAATGATTTGATGTTTTGGTCTTGGTGTTGTATTTTTATTTTATTTTATTTAGTGTCATGTCATTAGTGATTTTTTTATAATTCTAAAATTAGTGGTCTCTATCATTGTTGTTTAAATTATTGAATCAAAACTGTGATAAGTTTACAGACTTAACAACGCTGGCTAGTCCACATCAGCCTGGCCCAATTTAAAACACATCCACAAATAATGAAAAATGCTTTGGACCTTTAATTTAAAGGTATCACTAGTGTTGTGGCAGTGGGTTTCACCTATTGCCACTTTCAGTCATGTGTCTTTGATTAGAGGTGTGTTATTAGATGTCTCTAACATTGTTGACAAATAATATACATACCACTAGATAATGAAAAAGCATTGAACAAATTTTTTTTTTTAAAAAAAGAAGCTGAAATTATTCTCATTCATGACAGTTTCAAAAAACTACTGAATTATGAAGATTTTAATAGAAAAAAAGTTTTCAAAATTTTAATTACAGAGTAGGATTGAGCTCATTTTCTGCAAGCTGTTTTGATTTGCAATTTCTGCAAACCTAGAACCAAAACCTGTTGTTGCTTTAGTGAAAAATGAGATTGAAAATTGCCTAAAAGCCACTAAAATCCAATCTTTTTCTTTCTCTGCTAATTTCATTTTCAAATGATCTTCAGATGGAATCTTCCCGCCACTTCTCAAGGTTGCGCACCACCATGCCATCAGCTCATCCTGTGAAACGGCACACCCGTTAGTACAAGCCATGAATACAGAAAGAATTGTGCAGTATTGGCCTCATTTGGGTATTTGATTTTTAGCATTTGTAACAAAAGTTAAAAGTTGACTTTTTTTTTTTATATTTAAAGACATTTGGGAAGTTGATTTTGAGTCACTAATAAAATTACAATTCTATTATTTATGGGTTAAAATGTGCTATATGAGTGAAGTTGTAAATATTTTAAATTGAATGGGATCAATTTAGTCATTTTACTGTCATTTGACAATATAAATATATATTAATTGTGTGGGTGAAAATCTGATCACACTGCCTGCATAGTGATCAACGGGAGAGCACAGACAGAATAGATGGCTTCAGCAACCTATAATAGAAAGAAAAGGCTCTGGCGGTGGTTCTTCCACCCGGGGGCACTCCGACGATCAAGTCAGTATATCTCAAAGATAATCAAGTGTTAAACTTAATACTCAAAACATAAATTGCATACCTTAGACCCACGGGGGTGCCTCTCTTTTATAATATATTCAATCCAAGTTCTACTAGAAGTATGACTTCTATGAACTTCAATTCAGTGTTTACTTTGGACTTCTTAAGAGATAAAGATAAACTCACTAAGAGCTTTATCCTTATCTTGGTTAAGTCCCCTCTTCGTCTTAGGACTCTTGTCCCTTATTCGTTTATCTCGGATTCTGATATCTTCGGAGATAACCTCGGCAACTCCGAGATCATCTCGGCCTAACTACGACGACACGTGGCACTTCGGCTGACACGTCGGCGTCACCATGCCACGTGTTGTTATTCAGAAAATATATTCCCACAACTGCCCCCTAGGTTCTATTACCTCGGCATTCTGAGGTGATAGAACCTATACCGATATTTCGACATTTCTTTTCTGAGTAATGGCTCAAAAACTGTTTAGCCGAGATAATCCACTTCCAGTCGATGTGCTCTCTTCGGAGAACAAGGTTTCGAACGTACTCTCCACGCGCATGAGCTGTCATGCACTTCTAACCGTTCCCTTCAAATGCTTTATTTTTATTGGCCCGTTCCTGCGACGCGCCTTAAGGCTGTCTTTTCATCCGTCTGCGCTGTCTGACGTATCCGTCGCTCCAGGCGTAATAAATGCCCTATTTTTGCCGCCGTTTCAAGTTTTTGACAAAACTTTTCTTTGCCTCTTTCTCTCTTCACTTTTTCATTCTGATTTCTTGCTCTTTCTCTTTCCGAAAGCTCTTTTTTCTTCGAATCTGCCATTGCTTCAATCTCTCTTCTGAAACTGTCTTTAATCTTCTATTCTTGCGAAGCTTTCTTTGCTGTCACAATCGATTTCTGATCTCGGCGAATATTGCCCCGGCTTCATTTGTTCTGGTAAGATTCTGTTCCTTTCACTCTTAGTTCTCTTTATGTGCTTTCGTCTGCCTGTTGTCATTATTGCTTTTGTTCAAAGCCTTGGATTTGTTTGTATCTTGAATCGTGGCTACATCTTGAACACTTGCACTATTTCACCACTTTTCTTGCCACTGTTCTTGATTTTTTTACTTCTGTATTTCTTTCGTTTTTGAGAACCATACCTCTGCACTTTGATTCTGAAGCGTCATCGTTTTTTGTTTTTCGTATCTGTCCCAGATCTGTGCCTTCGATCTTGATCTTCATAGTTCTTAGGCTTGGGATTTGTGTGTAGAACCTTTAAGTTTTTAGGAAAAACTTAAACAAGCCTTATCAGTCCTTTCCTAGGCCTTTGTCGAGGTTTTTGCAATCTTTCTAAAACGCCCATCTCCTGAAACACATTCCTCTTTGTCTTTTTCTTTTTCTTTTTCTTTTTGTTTTTGTTTTGTTTTTTTTTTTTTTCGTGCAAAGAAATAATAAGGAAAAAAAAAGATGAAAAAATAAAATGAAAGAGAAATAAAAAAGAAAGAAATAGAAAGAATATAGGTGTGAAAAGTAATCAGAAGAGATAGATATATATATATATATATATGATTATTTTTTGTTGTTTTTATTTTATTTATTTATTTGTTTTTTTTTTGTTTTGTTTTTTTTTGTTTTTTATATAAAATCAATGGGGAACAGGTTGAAAAAAAAGAATGGGAAGTATTAAAAGAAATGGGGGATAAAAGATGAGTGTAATGTGATGATGAGAAACGAAAATAAAAATCAGGAAAAGACATGCCAGGTGGGTTGAAGAATAAAAAATAAGGAAAAGGCTGAAATATTAAAAAAAAAAAGATTGTGGGTGTGCTGGAGGGGAGAGAAAATAATAATAATTATGATTATTATTATAAAATAAATAAAAAGTTGCTAGAGATATGGGGAGGCTGGATATCTGAAAAGATGCTAATAAATCAAAAGTGGACTGATAAAGAGTACGAAAAATAAAATAAAAAAAGAAAAGGAAGATGAAAAATAAAATGAAAGAGAAATAAAAAAAAAAGAAATAGAAAGAATATAAGTATTAAAAGAAATGGGGGATAAAAAAAGAGTGTAATGTGATGATGAGAAACGAAAGTGGACTGAGAATGAGTACGAAAAATAAAATAAAAAAAAGAAAGTGGGGTGAGGATGGGTTCAAAAGTGGACTGAAAAACATGAGTGTATGTATGCGAATTATATAGGGAATGGTGGTGTGTAGATTAAACAAAGCTTTGGCTGTATAGAGAGAAAGGTGAGAGAGAGAGAGATGAAATAGGAAGTGGGCGGTGGAGTGTCAGGAAAAATGGGTTTTAAAAATAAAAAAGGAGGAAGAGATAAAAACAAATAATAATAAATAAAGAAATAAACAAAGTAGTCAAGAGAGTGGGATCACGTGGGTGGTGTAAAGATAGTGGTTGTAAAGTTTTTTTTTTTTTTTTTTTTTTTTTTTTTTTTAAGGAAAGTGGTTGAAAAATGGGTTGTAAAGAATATATTAATGGGGAAAGCGCGCTGGGGATAGATCAGAATTTGATAAAAAGATTAAGGAGAAGGAGATGATGTATAAGAGATACAGAGACGAGGCAGAGTCTGCAAAACTGATGAAGGAAGAGAAGGCCTTGAAGCAGTTAAGGAGGACATTGGTGCCTCATGCAAGACCAGTGCCTAACTTCGATCATCCTTTCTTACCACAAAGGTCTTCCAAGGAAATTACAAAACCAAAGTCCCCAAAACTGAATGTCAACCGAAGAAAAGAAAGACGAAAATTTGTCAGTGCCGTGGCAGCCGCTTCAAGTGCCTCCTCTCATATGAGGTGATTGTTGCTGTGTTGCTTTCTTGATGAGTGGCGTGGCGGAGCTGGTTCGTTGGTTTCGGGTGCTTCCTCCACTCGTCCCTCCTCCTGAAGAACTCCCCTGTGTATGTTCTTGCTTGTTGGATCGGAGAGAGAAAGAGAGAGAGATGGGGAAGCCATCGAGGGGGAGATAGAACAGGGTTGGTTCCAGTCGTGGACTCATGTAGAATGTGTGAACAGTAGCGCAAACAGCAGGTTGAAGAAAGGAAATTTCAAGTCTCCTTTCATAACCCTCAATTCCAATGGCGGAGAGTTGGAAGATGCAGGAAAGTGAAG